TAGCTCTAAAATTAGACGCACTTTCATCGTCACCCACAAGATTTTTTAATTCAGCGTCATCTGTCTTGTCGTTTATCATCACAGCCTGGTGAATCACAGTCGAAGCTAAACCTGAAAACGGCAACCAAGAGTTCACGATTTCCTTCTAATTTGCAAAACTTATTTCCCTTGATTACCATAGAATCGTCCAGCTTCCATTTGTACACAGATGTCGTGCAGCGTGGGCACAGGCGCCTCGTATTTCAATTTCGTCAATGTGTTCGCCAAGACGCTGTAGTAATGTTTCACTAGCTCGTCCTGCCGGTCTATCCGCATCTCGTTTGGTAGCGATGTATTGAAAAAGTAATGAAGGTCAACCGCCGGCGTAGACCAATTGCTAAACTGAAAATCGACCAGAACTGCATCCTCAAGTTGCTTAGCGCCTTCCGCTCCCTCGGCGGAGTAACGCAAAAGAATGTTATTAGTCCAGAGATCACCGTGCAGTAGTGTGTGAAAATAACTTTGAGGTGGCTCATGGACACTTCTGCAGTAGTCCATCACTCGTGGCTTCAGCTGGAGAATTTTGCTTCGGTAGTACGGGCCCAGCGCCGCACACTCGCCTGCAAATTTGGCGCAAACTTCAAACATGCCCTCAAAGTATGGGGCGAAGCCTGTGGTTGAGCGATTGTGCATGCCCATTTTGAGTCTATTCAGTACTCCAGGCATGCGTTCGTTCAGCACCGCGGCGGCCGCGTGCGTTTTAGCCAAGTTTCTTAATACCAGCTTGGTTTCTGTCTCGTTCATATACTCAATACGATTAGCAGTCCTGAAGTTGAATACCGCCAGATCTTCGAGAATAATGGCCGAGTTGTCGTAATCCACATGAATAGTATTCGCGAATAGCTTAGTACAATCACCTATTTCACAAAGTAATTGTGACAATTTTGGCAAAATTTTATCGTACATCACCATTTCGGTATTGTAGAGGTCATACCCCCTAATAATTTTCGCGGACAAAACATCTGCTTCGTAGGTGGACTTAACAATGTAGGAACCACATTCAGTCGTGTTGCTGCTAAGGTGAAATTTGATTTTTAAACGCGTCATAACGCTGAGATAATTGTCACCCTTCGCGGAGGCGGGCTTGATATCGATTTCTTTGATATGAAGTCCTTCATCGTTTTTATATCTGCGAAATATGGCCTCCAGATACTCTTTGGTTAACCAAGCGGGTGCAGGATTACAAGCCTCTACCTTCATTTTGCCCTGTTTTGAATCTACAAAATGATGATGTGAACGCCCGGTTCAAACAGATGCAACTGAAGAAATTCAAAACGAGCCTTTTTTTTAAATACCCTAAAGCCCGTTGCAGGAGTGTGTGCACCATACCTAGCATGTACAAGTATGTACATATGTGCCTTAGATAGTATATAGACATACATATATATGCGCCCATAAACGTCATATAATAAAAGTAGTACATACTCATGTAAGCAATTGTTATATTATGTATACATAAGTTGTAATTAGCAAACTAAATATTTATAAAATTGGATCGAAAAGTATAAAACATTGGTGGTTATTTCTGGAACTTAACTAAATGTCTTCTGAAAGCGATAAATCTTGAGTTCCTGTGGGTATCAAGCTCGTTTTCACCGCATGCTC